GGTGTTCTAAAGGAGAGGCTATTTAACGTAGCCTACAATTCAAAGAAGCAAGCTGTAATGGGTGGTATAATCAGCAGCTTGTCTTTATTTTCCTTTATGTGACATTGCTATATTAATAATTATATGTAGTTGTCACTAGTATGTTTTTTGCAAAAGTAGCATATCTTTGAAAAGAAAAGCTTTCACCAGTATCAGAATGTGCAGAGTATCGAAGGGTTGATACTAAACAAAAATGGTACTCATAATCTTTTATTCACAGATATTATCACGTGACAGAGAAATGAGTGAAGTAATAAACGAAGATTTTTGAGGTATTATGGTTGTATCAAAGTTCAACCTAGACTAAATGTCTGTCGTGTTACATGTTCTGAAATCAGGTTTATATGTTAACAAAAAGTTGCTTGTGAAGCCATGATAACAAAACCAAGTAACTTTCTATTTGTATTTGCAGATATACTTGAATATGAATCTAAATCCTGTAAAATAAACCAGCAAACGCAAACTGGAAGTGTTGGATGAGGGCAGAAAACTTCACTAATAGAAACAACTCCTCTTATGTTTTAGATGGAGGAATTCCAACTTACAACAACTTAACCTTTTCGTTTAATAGTTGGTGAAGGTATAGTTTCTAGTTTATGAAAGGGTAATTAGCACATAGCATTCATACCTTTCAATATTACTGTGCAAAACGTCCCTACCTTTTATTTTTTGGCATATTCACCATTAATTACACCTTTTATTAAGCAAACCGTCCTTCCGTCCATTTCGTGTCAATTTCTTCGTTAAGTGAACACTTGTAGTCAATCTTCTTTTCAAAATGGAAGGTTAATATTGTCTTAGAAAATTTTGCCCACTTCTTTCCTTACGCGTGCAAAGTTTCCCTGCGGTTTCTCTTTAATAATTTTCCCCTTTCGTCCCTTTCTTAAGAGCATTCTTCCCCTTCTCCTCTCATCTATGAAGTGATTGCTATTGGATTCCAAGTCGGACTAAGGAAGAAGAATAACGTGACTGCTGGCAAACTTCATATGGTGCAATGCATGTTATGATTTGATTACAATATAATCACATAATGGTTTTACCAATTCTTTACGTTTGAATTGATTACTTCATTGGCTAAAGTTGAATGTTGGTCTTGAGGCATTTCATGCATATCGAAACAACTAATAAATTTAAGAGATAGTAAACAGGAGAGGAATAGTAGTTTACCCGTTACACATTTCTCCTACTGACAGCTTGAAGATTAGTGTTGGACATGATCCGGTCCAGTTCGATTCTAATGAGAATTGAACTGAATCGAACCCTAATTTTCGGGTATTTAATAAGTGGAACCGTTGGGTTCAAATTTAATTATGGAACCATTCGGGTTCGGTTCCATTCGGTTCCCGATTTTTGTATAATAAATTTTTTTTTTAAATATTTACAATAATGCTACATTAATTTAACTAATGACATATTCAATTTTAGCTCTTACAAAATAACATAGTCCAACCCCATGATATCTTTTTCGCCTCTCTTTGTTGAATTCTTTGTTAAAATCACATGAAGAAGAGAATAACGAGCTCAGAAGAATGAAGAGAGGCCCAGCCATGCGTTCAATTCAATTTCTCCGGAACGACACTAATGTTTAATAAGAGATTTGTGTAGAACTTATGTCAATTTGATCAAGTTGGGCTTGGACTTTAAATTAGAAATAGGAAAATCATATTTTAGATTTGGGCTAAATTAATTAGTTAGAAATTTATTTTGAAAAAAATGAAATAATTTGGCTTGTTTAAAATAAAAAAATTAGGAAGATTCGATTCTTGGTTTAGAATCGAGAACCGAATCAAACCCGACGGTTTTCGATTCAGATACTCGTTCAAATATTTAACTTAATAATAACCGTCTGGTTCAATTCACCACTAGCTTTCAGTGTATGCCGCAAATCACCATCTGTAAATATACCTAGCAGATGATGGTCATCGTCAATAACAAGGCATCCACAACCTTTACTAGTTAGCTCTACCAACTGATCCATAATTAGATCTCCTTCCCAGCAAATTGGAAGTTCCTTCTACGTCATAAGATCGTTCACATGAAGGACAGAGAGATCGATCTAGATAAATGTTGCACAAAATCACATCATATGTACCCACAAATGGATATGGATATGGATATGGAGAAGAGAGGAGAAGGGGAAGAATGCTCTAAGAAAGGGAAACATGGCAAAATTTTTTAGGACGATATTATCCTTCCATTTTGAATAGAAAATTGACTACATGTGTTCACTTAACGGAGAAACTGATAGGATGGCTTGCGCAATTAAATGTGTAATTAAGGGTGAAAAAGTCAAAAAATGAAAGGTATGGACGTTTTGCACAATAACATTGAAAGGTAGGGACGCTATGCACTAATTCCCCATTATAAAAGTTAAATACGGAATATAGCTCAATAGTTATGTTTCTGCACAACTCGAGATAGTTTCTTACTTTTTTCATTTTCTTCACTCAAAGCCTCCTGTAATAGACAAATAAATAATGAAAATACAAACTGAAACTATCCAAATTTTGCAGATGAAAATCCTGGGAACATAGCCATTGAGGGTTTAGTCCTCTTCAAGAATGAAGGCTTTGTTTTCTGTACATGTACAATGTTGGCTTTGATAAAAAAAAAAAATCCTCTTATGAGAAATACTGATGAGGACTGAAAACTTAATATAGATTTTGAAGGTGACCGTCTAAATTTTTCTCTTATTAAAATTGACAGGCTGAAGTATATATGTAGACAAGAAATATGGAGTCATTGGACACAGGAGTTGGTTAGCATTCATGGATAAATTAGGTGTTAACAACTTTAGAAGAGTACTGAGTGATTCAAATTTGTTAGTTCCAGAGGTGTAAAACAAATGAATTGAAGATGGAAGGAATCAGTGTGTCAGTCTCTAAGTTGCATTTTGAACAGATTCTTGTGTCAGGACATCATTCCTGCACAACTCAATGTTGTGTTAATGGGAAACAAATCCCAAAAGGTCTTAGGAAAGTTGAAATGCGTACTTAAAATTTTACATTTGATCTCTCATTCAAATCCAAGAACAGGATTGCATAGTGCATTATCATCAAGCCTAAACTATGTATCAGATCTGTTGTTACCTTTGTTACGCAGAACCGTTGCATCTCTAATCGTATGATATTGGTACTTGCCTTGTACCACCAATTTTTTTGGAATGTTCTCCTAGGTCTGACTGCACAAGTGGGTGGACACTCTAGGATCAATAGAGGACTGGATCTAAGACAGAATTTAGGAAAACACAGTAAATATGTGTGAGAGGATGGGGGAGGACCACTGCGAGGGTGGGATGGCTGTCCTCCCTTCCCAAACCTCTGATCCTTAGTCCCTATCCAGTCCAGTCTCGTGTGTGGCCCTAATATGGTAAAATACAAGTACCATACTTGTTAAAATGAAGCTATTCAGGACTCAACTTCTTTTTCCGAGAGCTGGTACAAGCCTTACGTCATAGGGATGCTCACCTTATTGAAAAGGCCTCTATAGGTACGATGGTTGCGCTTGACTAATAAGATAGAAAGGGGCAAGCCAAACCCCATTCCTAACAAGTTGTTGAGTTTAGCTTTTAGTGCTACCTACTTTAGGTCTTATTTAATATATAAAGAAGAGTCCTTTTAGAGCTTTTTGTTGGGGCTGCTTAGAAAGGGGCAAGCCAAACCCCACTCCTAACAAGTTGTTGAGTTAGCTTTCGGGGCTACCTACTTTAGGTCTTATGTAATATATATAGAAGAGTCCTCTTAGAGCTTTTTGTTAGGAGCTTCTTGCCTTATGAATAGAAAGAAATGGGAGAGCTGAGGTGATTTCAGTAACCCGTTGCATGAGCTGAGGCTCCCAAACCCCACGAACTCTTATAATTCAACCTCCACGATCCATGCACAATCCTGGTCTACTTTTTTCTAACGAGGTTTTATCCATCAATATTGGGCAACTTCACTGATATTGCCCTCTTGAATCACAAAAACAATTGCAGAAGCATAATAATAATTAGACTAAGGTCCTAAGATCAACATATCGATGTTCTATTCCCATTGAACGTTTATAATTGGAGCTGAGGCAAAGGACTTATTTTCCCCTTCGTTTATATTTTCTCCCTAAATGTCATTTTTCTCTAATTGTTTAATCAATTTGTGATTCAGTCACAAAAATAATAATTCGGTAAACAGTTTACCAGATTGCTGGGCACTCATATTTATCCGACCACCAAAAGATGACTACATTCGCTTATGGCAAGGGCGCCATGAATTCCTTTTCTGGATATTTGTTCCCAATATTCACAAACTCAAACTAATAAAACATCAAGGTATTGATCACATCTCACTGTTTATTGTATCAGAAGTCTTGAGTCATGTAAGCAAGTTCATTACTCATTTATGATTAAAATAGGTCATCTGATGATCTTGTGAAATTTGATGATTTAATGGTTCTTATACCAAATTGAGCCCCTATTTGAGCTCCATTATATAAAAACTCATTTTTAACCACACTTACTTCCAATAAAATAGTTCTACACGTAAATCCAAAATTTTTTCTTTTTAACTACACATTCTCCAAAAAGTCACTATTACAAAACCTATTCTTTCAAAAAATGGGGCTCAAACACACCCTGAGTTTCATTTGCTCATGTCCAATGCATGCAAAATGCACTTGTGTCTCCACTTGGAAGTCACTAATCTGGTTAATACAAACCATTCACCAAACAGTGATGTGAGTACAACACGAGCTTATAAAGTAAACTGCCCAGGTCTTTTCACTGATTACGAACTATTATTTTAGGCTATGTATTGTGAACTATATCTTTTACACAAAAAATGTTTATTTACATAATTATTTTGTCATGCATAACCAATGGACTTTTATGGTATTTCTCATTGAAAAGAATGATGTAGAAAAGAGGCAATAAACAAATGTTTATTTATTATTCAGAAAAGTTTCAAGTACAAATTGTGTTTTCAGAGCACTAATCCTAATAGTTCCAGTGTATGATTGAGGCTTATCTATCGAAGATTGTGTATGACATCTTTTAGAAGTTTAATTTTGAAAGGTCCACTTATTCGAAAGCAATGACCACTTAGGAAACCTGTTTTCAATTTCAAGGCAATCGTGATCTTCAATCTCAATTTTTCTACTTTTGTGGTGCTGCTATGGATTTTGGCTGCTTTTGGTTGGACTTGAGACTGAATTTTTGGTAGTTCTTATTGAAACTGTCTTTCTGGCATTGTTTCTTTAGTTGTCCAGTCAGTTCCTTCTTTAGTTGTACTTCATAGTATCCTTAGAAGCGACAGCAGATCATGTTCGAGTTAAACGTTTAGAAGAAATGATTCCTGAAGGTCCTGGTTATCCTCTAGTTGAAGGAGGTGTGTGAACATTCAAAAAAACTTGGACTGTAGGGGCTACTTCGGACATTCAAGATCAGTATCAAGAATGTGAAAAAAGGAACAAGAACCAGCCAACGCTAACAGGAAAATATAAATAAGTGGAATATGCAGGCAAAAGAAGGCTGTGCAGTCCCAAATTAATTTTAGGAAAAATCCTAAAGCTCCGATACCATAATGGTGGAAATTTATTGTGTATTTTGCGTACTTAGAGTATAAAATAATGGGAATCCTCTATACTAAAACAAGGGAAAAATCTATTTAGCTGTATGATGCCTAATGATCAGGGATTACAATTATCAAGGAGTACAGTGAGATAATTGAAGACAAAACTAGGATTGTTGAGTTCAGTGATTTATCCCCAATTAAATTATTATTTGTTACATTATATGTCTCTCCTTTATTTGTTTGAGTTCTTTGATTGCAATCTCTGACTTCATGAAACGACCTAGTCATTTCAACTAATCCTTGCTGATTTCTGTTTTTTTTTTTTTTTTCATATTATAACAGTGTTGGTTTTTCTTTCATTCTTTTCACTATTTTCTTTTCCTCTTTTCTTTTCAAATTATCTCTCCAGGTTTTTGTTATTTATTTTCCAGTTGTTTCATATTTTATGTCTCTGCTATTTCAAGTTTGTTGATTCCTGCTTCACAATCTAGTTTTCGACGCTTTCCATAATGAATACATTTTATTGTGAATTCCAGGAAGAAAACCATCACCAATGTG